AGGACCATAGAAAATGCTGAATGATTTCTTCCTTCTTCTCCCACCAGAAGCAATTGCAAGGTGTAATCTAACAAGGCAGATAAATTTTAATATATTTCCAATTATTCTGACAAGTTTGATCTCTCTTTTCATAACTGCAAGAGGCAAAAAACGTTTTAATATACGGTAGAAATTTTCCCATAAGTTGTTATCCTTATGATCTTACTATTCCAGATGTTTTCATCTTGGATTTATTCATCATATGGATCTTATGCTTATATCCTGCTGTTTGTTACTAACATTAAAAGAAGCTAGAAACAATTCTAAGAGCATCCCAATATTAACTTGACTTATGAACCACTACTGTAGTTGTCAAGAGGGAGATATTCACTTCTTGGTGGGAGGGAGAGGTAGTTCCATTAGTCTAGTAAGATACGTCCTTCAGCTTAAAAAAACCAACTACTAATGACAATTCAGGTAGAGACCCCTTACATTTCTACAAAGTTTATACAAATCATCTTTTTTCATGTGAAATTATGTTATGAATTCTTGACTATATATATTCCTGTGATTGTAAGAAAACAAAGCATCTTAATGATGCCTCAGACTGTGTTAATGAAGTAGACTGCACTGAGCTTTTTCTTCACCTCAAAGCATTCTCTTTTAATCCTGATCATATTCGAGATCTAGCTCTACAGGTAGTCCATGCAGTACACATCACAGGAAAAAGTCCAGAAAGACAATTTATCATGTTAGTATTTATTTCCTCTATTTTATGAATAATGTTTGGCTTGATTAAACTAGAATCTTTAGTGCCAACACTGTGCATAACATGAGGATTAATCTGACAGATATTTGGAACAGTTTCTAATTTTCATTATTATGGGATCCAAAGTTAGAAGACTACTGAAGTGATACTTTCCACATTCATCAGTTTATCATTGTTGAAAACTCAATTTCTATGCTATTGCTGATTTTTTCAGAATGTTTAGACTAGGGGAGAACCTGCAGGATTATAACAACACTATAAGTACTTGAATTTTTGCATGTTTTGGAAAATAGAAAATTAGATAAAATTCACCAGGTTTTCTGATAGAAATGTCCCTCCCTCTCACTAGAAATTGTATGTTAAGAAAAGAGAAGCTTTTTGTTAATGTTTTTTCATTTAATTTTTCTCTAAACATATCTATTTCATGAGCTAAATTATTTCTGAATTTGATAATTTCCTAGGATTTGTGACCTAATTTTTAACACAAACTAGGACTTTGTTGTTCTGTTGTAGAAGCAGAGTGGGAAAAAAACCATGAAGAGTATGACTGAATTGTAATTTATTGCCCAATCTTCTCTACTCCATTTCCCTCTGCGAGGGAAGTTCCTTCTTCCTTGCCTAGCCCTGTGACAGCTGCTTTGCCTCCAGCTGGTGAAGACACTCGGTGCACTGCATGGATGTTGCTGGGGCCGCATTATTGGCTGAACAAATAATGTTTGCAGCAGCCCCACAAATCTGTTCTTCTCTCCCCAGCCTTCCATGAGCTGGTGCAACAGGACAAAGGAATGGTCACAGTTCTCCAGTGTGGCTGCATAAAGGGCAAAACGTGTCCCTAATGGGAAACCAGTTAAATATAGAGATCCTCTTTTCTTTCAAAAGTCACTTTGTGGGAAGCCATTCCAAAAGATGTTTCTTAGGAAAAGCTCCCCTGTTCTTGCTAGAATCATAAGTGAAAATTATG